CCTATAAATAGGAGGCCTCAAGACAAAAGAAAGGACTCTTAGACAGTGTTTGCCCGTTTTGCGTTTACTCCTATGATGGAAGGGCAAAGTTCCCCACTGCCTTGAGAACCATAGACTGGTCAACAAGTCAGCTTTCTTTGGTGTGCGAGCGTGCCACTGCTAGTAATAAAAATTCTAGCAGACTTAGTTTGGAATGGATAACTTGCGCCCCAAGTTACTGATTTCTGCAAACAAACGATTGTGAATTTGGGTGAGGAATATCTCCCAAGTAAGTTCTTTTCTTGCCTCAGACGGGTGAGGACTTTAACAATTTATCTCAGTATAAAGAGGTTGTTCTGGCCAGAATGGTTGATGGAATTTAAACTGTTTTTAGGCAGAACTGCCTTTTACAAAACTATAACAATAAATACTCATGCTAGAGAGATGAAGATACAGTTGGAACTCCATTTCTGTCGAGATGGAAGGTTCTGTTCTGGGCTGGACTGGAAATGCCCGGGCTGGACTGGAGACGCTTGGGCTGGACTGGGAATGTCTGGGCTGGACTGGACCGTTGACAACTCTTATTGCCCGATTTTCAACTACAAATCGATACCAAAGGTTGATTCTGGCAGAGCTTTAATGTACCTTAAGCTTTTGTGAAGCTTCTGAGTGGGCAGAACTGCGGCTTCTTTAGTCTGAAAGGGCAGAAATGGCTGTTTTTGAGGACGTCGGTGAACTAGAGACTGCACTGTGAAATTTGTTGAGGTTTTCCATTTTGGGAAAAGCTCAAGCTCTACCTGTCTTGGTTGTTGCTAAGTCTGAACCTTGGGAATTCTAATATAAAGCTGGTTTTCACTTGGAATTCAAGTGAGATTTTGGAGATTCTGATCTGGAGCTGGTTTCACTTGAAATTCAAGTGGGCTTGTTGGTTGATTTTGAACTTGTCTGTTGACGGTTTTCCTTGTGTAGGATCTTTGTTTGATTGAGTGATGATTTTTTGTTGTTGTTTTTGTGTTGTCTTACCCTGTTCACTCCTTCTTGTATTTATAGTAAACTGTTTCTTCTCTGGAGTAGGGTGATTGTGTTTATTTATTGGGCGGCAAAGATATTTCCCCCCTTTTCCTCCTCTTCTTCAGTTTTGGCAGATAGGCTCTCAGATAGGCAATCACTTCCCTGATTTTCTTGAAAAGGAACCTAATCTCTTTCCCAATTTCAACTGCCCCTTGTGAAATTTCACTCGTGATGGTTAGTTTGACTTTTTTTCTGGACAGCCCTCTGCTTTCCTGCTTATCCTTCTCTGATGTGAGAGGGATTTGATCTTCAGAGTTTTCAGGCTTTTCAGAACAGCTTGATGTCATAATCTTTTCAATCGCTTCTTCTATGGCAGTTGCTATTGTTGACTTTTCTTTACCCCAGAGATATCACGTGGGATTGTTCTTGTTTCTGGGCTCTCCCCCCCCCCTTTATCATATCGGGCCTGTGAGGCCCAGTTTAGCCTCGTTTGTTTGATAAGTTTTGGGCTGGGCTCTTCTGGTTTTTTGGGCTTCCATTTTTTCGCTGGGTTGGGTGTGTCAATTTTTGGCCCAAACAGACAGACTAAGAACTCAGAAGAATCAAAAAACTCTCTACATTCTTCACCCCACTTTAGAAGAGCCATCAAGCACAATAAATAAGTGTCAGTTCCTCCACCATAGGAAAATCCAATCACTAAACAAGCTTTGTGCTACCCGTTTGATCAAAATCAAGTCTCTATGACCCTTGCATCAATCACAGTTTTTCTTTAAACACTTCGGAGATCGAATTAGAGGATTTCATACAGATATTGTAACCGTAAATTTCATTAATACTAATATTACTTTGTACGCGTGTTCTTATCTCATTTGTCGTAGAATTTTCAAGTTTACAATATATTTTATAATAAAAAAATAATTAATGAATAATGATAAAATAACAATAACAATGAGAAGTATGAACTAGCTATTATGCTTTCATACTTCTTTATACATAAATTAAGCTCACCACTAATAAGAAGTTTGAAAGATGATTGAAGTTTTTTTTTTTTTTGGGGGTAAATACCACGAGGTGTCCCCACATCTGAAGGATGTGATTAATCCCGCTCGGGGTTTGGTCTAACATATGGAGATCATTTGGTCAACTATATAAAATAAGGAAGTAAATCACCTAAGTAACTTAGGAAATAAATCTTCTTGATTTAATAAGTTAACTCACGTTAACAAAATAGAAAGTCTCATATAATAAATGGTCCACTCCTAATAAAACCGAGGCCTTTTATATAAAACCTCACACTTGCTAAATATGTGATTAAGTTTGGGACAATATCGATGTTGCTAGTGGTGGACCAAGGGTCCATTCCTCTGAAATCTTAACATGGTATCAGAGCGGGTTGATTGACTGGGCCTAAATTGGGCCTTTACCCTTACCCAATATGTGGTGTTCACATGTTAGGCTTGAATGTTTACCTTACATCTTACCCAATACGCGATGTTCACGTATTTGGCTTAAATGATTGATTCCAATGTGGACTTGGCTCTACATGTGGCCCATTATGTAATGGTCCTGCGTGAGGGGGTGTCATATCCTAGATCGACTCCGTCATAGCACGATATTGTCTTCTTTGGGCCCCTTTACCCTCAAGGGTTTTGTTTCTAGGAACTCACAAGCAACTTCCCAGTAGGTCACCCATCCTGAGATTGCTCTAGCCCAAACTCGCTTAACTTCGGAGTTCCCATGGAATTCGAAGTCAGTGAGTTCCCAAAAGGCCTCATGCTAGATGGAGGTGGGCATGTATATATAAGGCACATCACCCCCTCTCCATTAGTCGATATGGAATGTTACAAGAGGCGTGTTGAAAAATATAAGTCCCACATCGAAAACTTGACTAAATAAAATACAATATATAATGAATGGTTTCACTACTAATATCACCAAGGCCTTTTGTGATAAAATCTCACATCTATTGGGCTTTGTAGGTGGTTAAGTTGGAGATAATATCGGTGTTGTTAGTAGTGAGCCACTGACCCGTCTATCTGAATTTAACAAATATGACATGCCTATGTGGTAAAGATTCTTTAATCACAACATGATTGACAAGGAGGCGGTGCACTTAAATATTATCTTTTTTGGACTAACCCCATAGGACAACAAAAATGTATATGATTATATCTTATTAGAACACCAGATTGTCAAATTTGAATTTACTTTTCTAGTTTGTTGTACTTGTTTTTATATCCAATATTTGATTAACCCAATTGTCTTTTGATGTTAAGAAAAAAGCTTGTAATCACTTCCTATTTGTGAACATTTATGTTTGGAATTTGGAGGGTGGTTGGACAACCCATTAATTCTCCTTAACAATGGGGGAAAGGAGAGCATTTTTCTATTTGAATGTGGATTATGGATGACCCAGGTTAATTCACCTAATTGCAACAATCCAAATTTCCTTTGGGAGAAGCCACCTAATTCTTCCATAAAGGTTTCTTTTTTTATTTTCCTGACCAAAAAAAAAAAAAGGTTGTTTTTTTTTTGTTCCTCAAAATAAACACAGCGGCCCAATTTTGTTTAAATATTTATATTTTTCTTCGACGACAATAAAAGATTGGTGATCTGGCTCCCTCCCTCCCATAAGAAACGCATCCCTCGTGAAATTCTTGAAATTTCTAAGCGCCAAATTGCTGGCGCCAAAAACTTCGCGCCACTTGCTCAATACCCGCCACACCACCTTCTTTATAACCCCCTTCTCAAAAATAAAATCCCATTTCCAAAATTTCATTGTTTCTTCTGCCCTCCATCTGTTTGGGAAAATTCCCAAAATATATTCCAAAGCTTTCTCATAGCATTTCAGCCCTATTTCCGCAGCCATGGTGCAAAAGCTCAAGCTTGCTAGCCCAGTCAAGTTCTACGGCAACAGCCTCCCCCGCCCCCGGATCTACACCGACGTCAAGTTCAACGACCACCGAGTCGATCCACCTGTTGCCGTCCTTGACCCTCTGCTCTGGTGGGCCAACGAAGCTCACTGGTCCATGGGTGGCCTCAGTTTCAAGCGCCTAAGGCTCCAGGGCCGTATTGAAGGCAACGTCGGCAAGCTCCGCGTGCAGCGCGAGAAGACCGAGAGAAAGAGGCAAAAACTCGAGAAATCCGCAAATGGATCGGCCTCAAATCAATCCAATAGCAAGAGGGCTGCCTCTGATTCGCCTCCTCCGGCTCCGATTGCGACAAAGCGCAGGAGATTCTTGGATCTGATCGATGAAGATGATGAAGATGCGGTTGAGGTGGAGCATGAGGTTGAGGCTGTGAAGGGGAAGAGGCTCGTGAAGAATCTCGCCGATGCGTTTGATAAGGTGGCTATGGAGGGCGAGAGAGGCAACAGCCTGAGCCCATCGAAGGGTTTGGGTGGTGGATCATCTGAGGGAATTGCCACAAGAACTCGGAGTCGGAGATCGGAGGAAGATGAGGCTGCAGAGACTGTATTGAAGGTGGCAGAGGAGGTAAATAAGTTGAGTTTCAAGGACAAAAAGTTGAAGGGCAAAAGCAAGGGAAAAGAGAACAAGCAGCAGACCGGGTCTAGCAATGTAAATGGGACTAGGACTTCGCCCAGATTGGCAAACCGTAGCTAAATGTTGATGTAGGCAGTCAGATCTGCAGTTTAATTTTTCTTCGTTTTTTTCTTTTTTGTTGTAGTTTCTTGCCTTTTTCAGAGAAAAAAAAAGGCTCTATATACATATCTCTTGGTGTTGAATTGCAGAGCTGAATTTATGTTTAATTATATTGAATTGCAGACATTATATTAATTAATTTTGTACACTTGAATCGAACTTAAGGCTTCGGGTGCAGAGTTAATTCTGTTCATCTCTCAAGAGTATCGTAGACTTGCATTAACTCAAGTTCAGAATATGAAACCTCACCAGAGTCGAGGCAGTTTGTATAAATATCTATACACCAGTAGTTATCATTACAAAAGAGCTATTGCTATCTCTAAAAGAGCTATCAACCTTAAAACATTGTTTCAAGACTGCAACAAATACCATTGCATACAAGCAAAAGCAAAATATTCAATAATTTAAAAAGACCTTGTTCTGCTTGTTAATCTGTACTTTCATTATGAAAAGCTTGATAACATCACAATTTATAACAGCTTCTATAAACTCAAATGAATCATTTAAAATGAAATTATATAATGCGTATTATGTGGAAAGAGTATGGTACACGACCGAGACCTGCTTCTCTCCTTCAAGCACGGTTGAACCATAACAGAGATCGCATTTTAGCCTCCAAGAAAACGAAATTTTTATGCTGAAAAAGAATAAGCATTTCACTGTCTTTGCGAGCACAAGTTTTTCAAATTTCGCTGTTGTTGAGTTGGTCTGTGGAGTCTAGCCAACCTGCATGATTGTTCTATTATCAGCTTATATGTAGATGGCCTTTCCCATGGAACAATCCCAAATTCATCATTATACTTGTCCATTCCTCCGACGAATAACTGCCAGACTAAAGAACCTGCACCAGACCCGTTTTTCTTTGCAGATTTGTAAATGGCATCTAAAATAACTTTGTAAAATCTATCGCGCTGAGATGGTTCAAAGTCTTTGTTCTGGTTTGACAATCCATATTCAGTGAACATCACAGGTTTATTCAGCTCTTTGTCCCCATCTTCTATGTGAGAATGCATCCACTTGGAGACAAATTTGAGGTTCTCGTGAAATTCTTTATCATGAAACCTACCCAAAAAGTAAGGATGAAGTGAATAGTCTAAGACATTTTGTCAGTTTGGATCACACATTCAAACAAGAATCCACCTGATCAATACTTTAAATTAAAAGTCTAGCAAATGAACATGAAACTATACATATAATTATTCTCCAATAAGGTGTGAGTAAAGAAGTTTATGCTTTTGAACCGTTAGATTGCAAATGAATCACTGAAATGTATGGAGATGTATCCCATCCACTGTACATCACAACTGTTCGTATAAGTATCTAAGGCCCTTATTAGATAATAACTCTCTATATAAGTACAAAAATGATTTCCATTTATTTGAAAAAGGTCCTTTATCAATAATTGGATTTTGATCCCTCAGTTGGCAAGGATTTTTTGGGTCACCTGTGAGCAGGACACACTCACACAGCCAATCTAATAAGGACTTCAGTTAGGGGTATGCATCTCAATTGATAAATCAGTTTGGATGACTGAGATGCATAGAAAGTAAGATGCATTTCAATATATCTCAATGTCCGTATCTGATAAGGCCTTAATAGAGTGGGTACTTCCCTCATATTGACTTGAGAAATTTCATGTAATGGAAACGCTTACCAGTGGTCAGGGTAAATATGAACAGAAGCAAAATCAATGTTTGGGATCTTGGAGTTGCGAATAAAATCTGATCCAAGTCTAGATGCCCACATTTCTGGATTCACAGTCAACCTTTTGGGGTTTTTAGGACCATAAAATCCTTCAAGGCCCACAGTCAGTAGATGTTTCTTGTCAATTGCTTTAACAAATGCTGACATTTCTTCTATCCAGTCCTGCAACAGTATGCCATACAATTAGTTCATGTTCTGAAAACAGAGAACAGAGGTTACAGAGCCGACCATCCCCCTCTCCCTATCCATCTCCACACCTCCCAACTCACCCTACCGTCTAAAGAAAATAAAAGAATAAAACGCCCTTCACTGGTAAAGGAAAAGATAAGAATTAAGAATCGTTGAATGTTAGAATAAGTAGCTCTTTCCCCAAAGTAAGAGGAAAAATATTACGTAGTGGTAGTAGCTCTCTACTAATTTCTATTCTTTTCCTAATAGGGTGTATCACAAAGAAATCACAAACACGTTAAAGGAAGGTTCCATCAGAATTGCACTTTGTCTCAAACAAATAAGATATTTCTGACTGAATTTCAGTGAAAATATTTTGTAAAATCCAGGGAATCCATCAAGTAGAACTGCACAACTCCATAATTTTTAAGAACTGACTACATACCTGGAGAGTGTCGCCTGAAGCATCAGTAATGCAACGGGGTTCATTTATTAACTCCCATGCAAAAATGGTAGGATCATCTCTATATTCAATTCCATTGAGAGTATTCTTCCTCGTTAGAAGAGTCTGTAGAAAAAAGGAAATGAATTAAAATTGGTTTGAAATCACATATTATCGTAGCACCAAAATCGATGTAAAATATATTATCAGGAAGTCTGTTATTACAGGGAGAAGAATCAGTGGATGAAAGTAATGACCTGTTCAACATACCATACCAGTTAAGACCAAAATCATTTATCTCATAACATTCAAACTCATTAGCAATCCACAATTCTTCTACATGCACTCCAGAATGTTATTTTCAGAAATAGCTTCCAGAATTCTGAGATATCCCTTCTCATAAATCTTAAATGCCACTATCCTATTAACCAGAACTTGATGCTTTTAAATTCTAATTTTTCCCTCTATTTTACAGCATACAATTAGATCCTTTTGTATCTTAGCAAGAACTGGGGAAAGGGAAGGAAACAAGAAGAAGGCCAAAGAAAGAAAGCTATTTCAAGATCTCCTTCTATCCACATCATTCTGTGTGAGATCCAAATGGAGATCGACCAGAACCTTTTTCTTGTTGATAATGACACTAAGTTTCGCATTCTTAGTCATTATACCTTTTGCCAGTGACCACTTTGCAACCAAAAAGCTTACCTGACATAATCTTTCACCAAATATTCAGTAAGTATAACCTAGTAGTAAGTCATCTTGCCAACAAAATTTTGTCCCCATACCCTGCCTTCATGTCAACATAAATATTGGTGAATGTAAGTAATACATGAGAAACTGACACTAACAAAATTTAACCTTTTAATAAAATTTTGTTTTTTCCATTCCAATATAAATAACCATATTAAACATACTAAATAGTTTTCCAGTCATTAACAAGAAAATCTAGGTTATGAAGTGTCAAAGAGGCATCAAAGAGTTGTGCAATATTTCTTTCCGGGGAAGAAAAGCAACAAAAAAAGTTACCTTCACGTAATTCTTGAAATAATTTCGAATGGAAGGATCGAAGAAAAAGGAATCATTGGAAGCGCTCAAACCAACACCTTCGTCCCACGCCCACTTCACATACTGAGTCTTCCCACCATATGCTTGCAAGTTATTAACTAAGCTAAAAAGCAACCTGATACCCTGTTGTCTAGCTTCTACAATGACATGATCCAAAGCCTGTCACGAGATCACGGTGTTGTAAGAAATAGTTAAAAAGGGCGAAACAAATACAAAAATAATGGCAAGATAACAAAAAGTACAGTAAACCATTTTATTGTAGTTATTCCATTAGCTATATACCATGTAGCATGGAACCTTTGATTGTCTTCCCCTAAAAGTGCACTTTGAACAGCAAGAAAAACTTCAAGAAGTTACAGAGAATTCCCTTTATCTTAGCAAAAATATGGTTATCTAAAAAACAGTTCCTACTGGGCAATGGTCATGCGTGTGCTTTACTTTATATTAAACAACAACAAATCATTAATCTTAAAGAGGTTAAAGAATGTGGCAGAAGCATTGCAATACTGGGAAAACTTTTACTACATTATAGTCCAAATCATTTCGCATTAAGAAACACCCAAACATGACTGATAGTCTTTCAAAGGCGCTGGATTCTTAAACACATTTAGTCAATATGCAAATATACAAACTCTTCGTTTCAACCCTCATTTTGTTTTGGGTTATTCCCACTTTCATAATGCAATATAATCTCTATCAACAAGGAACTGACCGGCATTTAGTTTGTACTAGACCTGCTGATTTACCTTCTCAGATGGAACCATAGTTTTATTACTTCAGTTGCAAACCTTCACTGATAAATTATGGCAAAACATGATCACCACTCAAGTAAACCCTCAAACTGAAGCACCCAAACAAGTAGTACAAGGAGAAAGTTTCGAACTCAACGAAAAACAAAACACAGAGGTCAGAAACTTATGTTTACTATAAGACAGAAGGATGAAAATACATGAATTATTAATACCTTGAACACTTGCTCATTGAAGCGACCAGGCGAAATCTGGAGGGCATTGTAGTCTCCATCATTGAAGGCCCAAGTTCGGCACACGGTAAGACCCATTTTCGCACCAGCTTGCAATATCTCCCGCACCCTGGGTTTGGTATACTCATCCACACTATGATCCATTAACCAGTAAGAATTCCACCCATTAATGTAAAATGCTTTGCCATCTAACATGAACTGAGTCCCATTCCTCTCCACAAAACCCAACTTAGTTTTTTCCTGTAAGTTCGTCCCCAAGCCACCGAAGGACATGTAGATGAAAGCCACACACGATGCAAATCCAACAATTGGGTAGAACAGGCCATTTCCTGCCACTACCATTTTCCTCCTATACGTTGGAGAGGACCTCAAGACCATAAAAGCCCCAAAATTGGCACAGATTTGAAATAATTTACTACCCAGATGAGATTCTGGTACCTTCGAACCCAGATGCAAACAGGAATGTTTGCAAAAACCCAATCTTGAAGACACCCAGATCCTTCTCTAGCTGTAAAGGGTACCTCAAATCCTCAAAGAACTTCAATTCTCACACACATTTAATACGGAGTGAGAAAGGAGAAGAAGCAATAAACAGAGAAAAATGCGTATTGCTGTCCTGAAGTCTTTGGGATTTTATAAGTCAAAATTAAGCAAGAGGAAACCTATGACACTATGCAAGAAATGTGAAAGGTTTCAGACCATGTGGGGAATATGGCAGAGAAATCACAGCTAACATGTCCAACCTTGAAAACAATGGTCAAAAAATTTGAGAGAGAGAGAGAGAGAGAGAGAGAGAGAGAGTTTGAATTGAATGAATTTTCAGTGAAAGTGAGAGTGGTGGTGGGTGTGTGGGTGTAGTGTTGGTATCAAGCTTGCTGGTTGTTTAGATCTGAGCACCTGATTTCACTGCATTTCTTCATGTTTACTATTTGTACTGAGCAAGTCTGTCTGTGTTCAACACCCATGGGGCCATCCCTCAATGTGTAGAGAAAAGATATCCCCCAATGTGTAGAGAAAAGATATCCTCAATGGCTGAATCTCACCAACTGATAAAAAAATATGAAAAGAACACAAAATTATAAAAAATAAAAAGCCAAAACAGAAAAATAGAAGAAACTCTCATATCCTCATTGCCAAGATTGTGCCAATGATTTGATTTAAGCTCACAAAAGTGTACCATTTGATCGCCTGCGGCCAAAAGTTTTTGGGATTGACAGATCTGAAAACTATGTCCATGTGAGAGAGGCATATACTTTATTTATACGGTGTTTTTCTTTCTATTTAAAACTATTTTTTGGTTTAATTTGTGAGTAATGAATTTATAGAATGTTTCTGTGCCACTGGAACGAAACATATACAAGAATCCAGTGCACCAACCATTTCATAATTACAAACAAAGATTTTACTATATAATTCCAGGTTATTGAAAGAGATTTTTACCTCTTGTGGATGTCAATTTATTGTGTTAAATAAAATAAAAACGATGATTTATTCTCTTTCTGTTTATTGTCCTCTTGTAATTTTTTGATAATCGAAACTGTCTATTTTCTAAGCGGCAATTTAAATTCTTTAAAAACTCAATTAAATCATAATGATTCGTCTACACATTGAAATTAGATGTCACAATTTATAATTTGGTTAATTTTTATACAAACAAATTTTTAAGATGACTTAAAAATAGACGGTTCCGATCATTAAGCAATATTACTGGATAAGAAGGAAATAAAAGGTTGATGAAGAAGGTTGAAAAGAGAATGCTTCTACATTAAAAAAATTAAATAAATAAAAAGCAAAAGAATAGAGAAAATAAATGGAAAATTACAATAATGAGATCATTTAAATCAGTATTAATCTAATCTAATGATTAAAAAAAATAATAATAAACAAAACACTTGTAAAATGTAGGTCTCTAGAGGCCAGATGAGTAAGGAACTCATCTTTGGTTGCTTGACCCAGAAAAAACAAATCTTTGGTGAGGCCACAATAGCACGCGCGGGGAGCTAAGTTTGGTTTGGACACACAATTCCTGCATTAAAAAGGGCACGGAATTCCTGAATGTCAGCCCTGGTCTTGTCTGTAGGCTCCAATTTGTTTTGGTTTATTGATGTGGTTTGGGCATCGCCCTGGGGATTTTAACTGGTAGAGCAACTATGAAGCTTGTTACTCACCAACTTTGAATTTAATGTCATTCAATTGGTTGATTAGCTTAAATTCCTTGATTCATAAAGACATGAAAGGAGCTTAGGAAGTATGAGATTATTGATTTCATACTTCCTAGTCAAATGATAGTATCAATTATTTGTATTTAAGTTTTCGCAAATTGATTCGCCCATTTTAGAAAAACTAGTGTTGTATGAGCAGTGGCGGAGCCACTTCTAGGCCTCTAACTTTATAATTATAGCTCTGTCCTGTGTATAAGATTTATCGTCGGACCATTGGCCAACATATAGCTTTTAACCAATTCATTACTTGCTGGTTTGCTAAGCTTCAAACTAATTTTGTATTAACCGGAATGAAAGATGTTCCTATGCTGGTTTAAAAACAGATGAATATTTGAAGTATCATTTAAAACAAGTTTATTGTTGTTGTTGTAGTGATTAAGACTTGTAGTTCTGTTATCACAAATATATAGTTGGAGTCAGTTAGAAGGAGAAGGACAAATGGAGGGATGCTTTGTGTTTTTGTTTTTGTTTTTGTTTTTTTTGGTAGAGCAAGTTAGGAGATGCCTTGTTACTCATTGGAGAAAAAGTCTCAGGTCTAACTTAAAAAAGAAAAAGAAGAAGAAAAAAAAATATATTGAAGTTCAAGGAAGAATAATTGGACGGTCTTTTCCTTTACCAAAAGAAGAAAGAAAAGGAAAGAGAAGGAAGAACAATTCCTTTCTTCCTCCTAATTGTCATCTTCTATCATATCTTGTATTAAAAATAATAATAATAATAACGATATTTGTTTCCTCCTAATAATATATTAATTCCAATTAATTAGTGGGTGCAACTTTGTAGGGCTTTGATTGAAACTTTGCACCATCTTAGGTTTTATATAGATTATATTCCTCATCCCATTATTTTCCGTACAAAGTTTTGGTTATAATGATTAGCCCCCATAATTATCATCGTCTTGCTGAGTCAAGACTCAAGTTAAACCCCAAAATATGC